TAAGACCGCAAAACTCTGTAAAATTGCTCGTAAACGTTTTTACCAAAACAAAATCCGACACACGCAAGATATTAATCCTAAAAAGTGGTGGGACAACATAAAAATGCTCTTCCGCTTATCAAAACAGCAACCTCCAATGAGCATGCTTGTAAATGGTTCCGTACTCAAGGATAAACAACTAGCCGAGGCCATTAGTGATTCCTTCTATCGAGTCTCTAGCGATATTCCTACCCTACATTTCCAACCGATCCCAGTCACTTGTATCCCAGATTTGTACATAATTTCTCCCGAAGCTGTGGAGGCTCGTCTATCCTGCATTAACGAGCGTAAGGCAACTGGCCCAGACGAAATTCCGAATTGGCTGCTGAAAAGTTGCGCAGTTAATTTAAGTCAGCCAGTTTTTCCATTTTTAACGCGTCGATTAGGAATGGCGAAGTCCCTAAACTATGGAAATCAGCAGATGTATTGCCACTTGGAAAGATCACTCAACCAAAATCTATCGAATCTGATCTCAGACCGATTTCTTTAACTACTGTTCTAAGCAAAATTCTCGAAAGTTTTGTGTTTAGTTGGCTTGCCCCTATTGTAATGCCACATATCGATCCATACCAGTTTGGAAGTGTCAAAAGATCGTCTACTACACATGCCCTTGTACACTTAGTTCATTATTGGCTTTCTGCCCTGGAAGCACCAAACACGATGATCAGAACTTGTTTAATCGATTTTGCAAAAGCCTTCGATCGAATTGATCACAACATTCTCATGCATAAACTATTGATCCTTGGGGTCCCTCCGGTGCTTTTAAACTGGTGCTCGAGCTTTCTCCAAGAAAGACAACAACGTGTTAAAGTGGGAACTCACAAATCAAGTTGGAAACAAATCGCAGCTGGGGTGCCTCAGGGAACCAAATTAGGCCCTTTGTTTTTTCTTATTATGGTGAACGATCTGAGATGTAATGCACCATTGTACAAATATGTTGACGACTGTGCGGTTACTGAAATCATTAAATCATTTGACTTGCAGTCATCCAGTTTACAACGTGAGATCGACTACATAAATCAATGGTCGGTTAAGAATAATATGAAATTAAATGTCACAAAAACTAAAGAATTCAATATATCTCTGTCTAGCGCCCCACATTCGTTCCCTGCTTTATCTATAGACAATCAACATCTCGAAGTTGTCCACACTGTTAAGCTTCTGGGAGTGTACTTGTCTGCTGATTTAAAGTGGACGACGCATATTGACCACATATGTTCCAAAGCCAGTAAACGTCTATTTGCAATTCGAATATTGAAACGAAACGGCGTTGAAGTGTGGGATCTTAGAAATGTATACTGTAGCTTCATACGACCTGTGCTAGAGTATGCCTGCCCCGTGTGGCATTTTTCATTGCCTGTATTTTTGTGCGACCAAATTGAACAAATTCAACGCCGGGCTCTGAAAATTATCTATCCTGATTTATCGTATAAAGACGGTTTGAACGAACTCAATCTGCCCACTCTTGTTGATCGGAGGGTTTCCTTGTGTGAACGGTTTTACGAGAACAGTTTTGGCACTTCAAGTAAAACTTCTGACCTTTTACCTAGAAAGAAATCTTATTCATATAACCTTAGAAATGCTAGAAACATTCCACTTTTTAAAACACGTACAAGTAGATTTTATGACAGTTTTTTACCAACCTGCGTACGGAAATGGGACTTGCCTTGAACTATTCCAATTTAATAACTTAACACAATAATGCATAAATTTGTATTGTACATATATTTTTATATATTCTAATCTAACTATTTTATTTTAATATTTGTTACTTGAGTTTTTCAGTTTCTTTGTAAACTGCCATTCAAGTTTTTAATAAATTCAATTCAAATTCAATCTTTGGAGGCTAAACGAAGTCCAGAGACTTCAATTCCTATATTGTATTCTAAACGAGAAAACAACAAGCGTCTCTCAGGAGTTGAATGATCTTATCGAGCAGATGCAGAATCTGAACAGTCGTATAGATGAGTTGGAAATGACTGACAAAGTTGAAATGTTGTCGGAGAAGAAAATCATAGGTCTAACAATCACAGGAGCGTCTATTAATCATGATCTTATTCATCATATTGGTCCAAGTGTTGTGATTGTTGAGGAAGCCGCTGAAATTCTTGAACCCAGCCTCCTGGCTGCGCTGACTCCATCTACTGAGCACCTGATCCTAATAGGAGATCATAAACAACTGAGACCACAGGTTGACACCTACCAATTGTGTACGAATTTTCACTTTGATGTCTCGATGATGGAAAGATTGATTGAATCTGGATTCCCTTTTGAATCTCTTGCTAAGCAAAACCGAATGCGTCCCGAATTCTCAGTCCTATTACACGACATCTACCCTAATCTGGAAGATAATTTGCCTTTGGTATCGAAAAACGAGCCGCTGAAATGCATCGAGAAGTCAATGTTTTTCTGGTGTCATGATGATCCCGAGAAGAAAGATCGTACTTACACGAATGTCAAAGAAGCAGAGCGTATCATAGCTCTTGTTATGTTTCTCTTATGCAATGGTGTCCGTCCGTCTGACATCACAGTTCTAGCAGCCTACCTCGGACAGACTAAACTTCTTAGAAACATGATAAAGAAAGAGAAAGACATCACGCCTAAATTTTTTAAAGAATATGATGAAAGTGGAGATAATCGAGAAGGTTCCGTCGAAGTGCAAACAATCGACATGTATCAAGGAGATGAAAACAAGTATGTCATCATTTCTCTGGTGCGTTCCAACAAAGAAAACAGGATCGGGTTCTTGAATAAAATTAACCGTCGCTGTGTAGCTCAGTCGAGAGCGATGAGTGGTATGTACTTTGTTGGAAATGTTAACACCTTGTGTGGAGCCAGGGATTCGTGTTGGTCGGAGTTTATCACTTCAATGATGAAGCAAGACTGTGTTGGATATGAATTTCCTCTACAGTGCATGAAACACGAGTCCTCGAAATATAAAGCTATGGATGGTAATAGCATTCGTGCAGTGAACGCGAAACCTATTCTCTTGTGCAAGCAACTATGTGGCGATTCTTACCTCCACTGCGACAAGCATCCTTGCAAAAAGTCATGTTTTCCAAGGCACTGGCACACTGATTGTCCCGTACGTGTTTATGATCAATTCCCAGATTGTGGTCATGATGTTAAAAGAAGATGTCCCGAAAAAATTTCTGATCTTCGTTGTGAAGATATGGCAATTGTAAATCTACCATGTGGTCACCAGAACAGGAAGAAGTGCTTCCAGAATATATCAGATGTTATTTGCAGAATACCAGTAACTGTAACCTTCCCACAATGTGGACACAAGACCTCTAAACCATGCCATGTCAAAATTGGGACGATCGAGTGTCAACACCCGTGTAAAGAAATTAATTCGTGTGGAATCCACCAGTGTAAGATTATTTGCGGAAAAATTCATGGTCATGATTGCTGTTCAGAAAAGATTGATTACAACTTTCCAGTATGTGGTCATCCCTCTCCAAAGAAAAAAAAGTGTTCGGAAAAAATATCGTGGGACTGCAAACACAAGGTGTATATCAAGGGAGCTTGCGGTCATTATATCGAAAAGAAATGCCACCAAAGTGAAAGCGAAGTGAAATGTCCTATTACACCATGCGCAAAACTGCGGAAATGTGGTCATCCTTGTAGAAATGCTTGCGGAGATGAATGTGAGAAAGGTGAATGCAAGCTCTGTTTGCGCGTATACCACAAAAAGTTGGAGGAATTCCGTGAAGCAGCCAAAAAACGAGTTAAAGAGCTTGAAATAAAGATCGGGAAACGACAAATCCCTAATTTCTCCAGACATGAAATCCGTCTCTCAGGAGCGACTGCAGCTGAATACCAGAAAGTCGAAGATCAAGTTATGAAGTTCATTCAACCATGTCATCATTGGTTCCCAAAAATCACCAAAATTGAAAAAGTTACTAATCTTGTGTTGGAAAAGAAGTTTGAAGTAGCAAAGTCCAAAGCATTTGGAGATTACATCGATACAAAGTTTCATGGCACATCTAATGATAATTTAAAAAAAATCATCAAAAATGGCTTCAAAATGCCAGATCAGAAACCAGTTCCACATACTAAGCGTGGTATGTATGGCCAAGGAATCTACTTCGCTACAGATTCATCCAAGAGCGCACAAAATATTTACACGCAAGGCTCTCAGAAGCTTTTGCTGAGTCAAGTTATTCTTGGAAGATCGAAGGAAGTCCATAGGGCTGACTACGATTTGAATAAGAAAACGCTCCGGTCCAAACAATTCGACTCTGTGTATGCTCCGCGAGGATCAGCTGTAAAGAATGACGAGTTTGTAATCTTCGATCCAGACCAAGCACTTCCTCAGTATATCATTCACTTCTCTGATTCCGTTCTACCACCTTCTCCATCAACCCTAAAAATGCAGCAAACATTTATAGTGAAGAACATGAAACCGTTAAGGACCGTAGACATCCGAAATCCATTCCAAATGTACTACAGTTGGGCCGACTCCCACTTCAGAAGAATGGCCGCCACGAGTAAACCACCTCTTTCCCCCCAACAAGCTACTATTTCATCTATTGATATTGTCATCAACAAGGATCTTGAAGACAAATTTGAAGCCACAAAGAAGAAGTTTAAAAACCAAGGCATTCCTGACAAAGAAATTCTTGCTTATCATGGAACGGAAAAGGCCAACATACATAGTATCTTGAAGAGTAACCTACAGTTACGCTACGCTAAAAGGCAAGCGTATGGTAAAGGGAATTATTTTTCAGAATTCCCTTCTGTCAGTCTAAGTTATGGTGATGGTCTACTCTTATGTCGTATTCTTCCTGGAAAGGAGTTTGTGGATGCCAGTGGCTCAAAAATACCTGCAGGCTACAATTCCAAGAAAGTGTTGCTAAAAGTTCAGCCTGCCAGTGCTACAGGAGCTACAGCCACAACAGCTGCCGCAGCCAACGTGAGTGGTGAAATGATCATCATTGAAAACTCTGATCAGATTTTGCCTTTCTTTGTTATCCATCGTTGAAATGACAAAATAATTTAGAACATGGCAGAAATAATTTTAGAACTATGCATTTTTACTGAAATTAAGAAAGATTATTCATAAATCATCGAATTGTGTGGTGTAATTGGTGGAATGATCGTTAATTAATGGAATATACTGATTGAATTTTGATTATTTATTTGCCATTTGTTGTTGTTAATTAACTAAATTTTCCTAGAACAAGAAGCTCTTTTGAGTACCCTTGACACACCTTTTAGTAGTTTAAATACAACGTTTTCTTGTTCTATAATTGTGATGATTTAAGATTTTGCCAGTTACAATTGAGTACCACTTGTATCATTGGACTAATAGTAATTTCATTAAATTAAAGAAATGTATTTGTACCTATTTTTCTTGAGATATGCTTTAATTAATATCCATGCATGTACGTGTTTACAAATTTCACAAATTCAGTTGGAATGCCCAACATATATTTGGTGGTTATTGAAAGCTAAAAAAATATAGGGAACAAATGAATATGCATGGTGAAATCTTTGCGAGCTAGAAACAAGTGAACAAAGGAACAATTTCCAAGAGAACACAAGAACACAGGTCCATCCCCCCCCCCCATAGATATCTTATATATATATATATATATATATATATATATATATATATATATATATATATATATATATATATATATACCGGATTCGGCTGCTGTTTACACTACGCCACAGTAATCCGGTACGCGACGCGGAGCAAAAATCACTCCGCTTTGGAGGTGATATGAAAAGTAATCCGGTATGTGCCGGAGCAGTGTAAACAGGCTAATCCGGTACGCTTCGGTACAGAATCGGTTTTGGCGTGTATGTTTTAACATTGTCGCCTTTATTTGCTCGCTTTTACAATACTTTATAGCTGTTGTTTGTTTCGCCTTGCAACCATTTACCATTTCTGCCGAATACAAGTAAAGAAAACGATAATAACATTGACTTTTCGCTTTCGAAAGAGCAAAATTTAAAGAAATACTCTGAAATTTTGGATTAGAGCGAAACGAAGCAACGTCTGGCGGTCAAGCTTTTTAAACAAAGTTATACTTTACAAAGAAAACGGATGTTACTTCTTGTTTTCAATAAATTTTGGTCAATTGGCTACTTGTTTCCATGGCGACAGAGAAAGACATGAGCTGGCAACAGAGCGAAGCGGCATAGTGTAAACACCCTTGATTTTTTACTTCGGAGTAAAAATTAATCCGGTATGAAAAGTAATCCGGTATAGTGTAAACGGGGCCTAGATAGTGCATCTAATTATTCTGCAATTCAAAAATTGAAGCCGTGATTGCAGACTCAGGATATTCCCATGAAATGAGAAGACTGAAGTTTCTATTTCTTAAACAGGGAACTTAAACATGAAGTTAAACCTATTCCAAATACATTTTCAAACTATTCAAATGATGAAAGTTATTGTTGTTTTTTAAGCATTTATTAGCGAGTGGGAAACTCCAACATGGCCGCCATCTATTCAAATGGGAGTAACCGCTGGAATATTCTTGGCTTCAATTTTACTAAGAGATGCGCTATCTAGTGTATATAAGATATCTATCCCCC